ACCAGTTTATGTCATGCTGGGCCATCAAGGGGCCACTCTGCACGGGGGGTGGGAAGGGGGAAGAGATGACCATCTTGTTCTGTAAGTATGACAGGGGTGCTGGCGTGGGGGGGCTCAATGGCAGGAGTTTGTTATTGATGAATGGGGGTGAGGGGGAAGGGGATCTCTGCACTTTGGCACTTTCACCTTTTGGTTTGAAATGGTCCAATAAAATCTGCCTGTCTAGAGCACGTCATAGTCTGTGCACAAATAAAGCCATGCACTGGCTTGAACATCTTGAGGTACTGAAACCCAGAAGGGGGTAAAAATACTGAGACCAGGTCAACAGGGGGATACTGGAGCAAGGCGAGTGCAGAGGCAGCCTTATTTCCAAGCACGTGGCCCTCCCATGCCTATAATTTTGGGCAGTGGAGGGCAGGACACAGCAGGGCGCTGGCTTTTTACCCCACTATGGGTTTCAGGACCTCAAGATGGTTCATGCCAGCACACGGCTTCAACCTGAAACAGGCGAAGACCTGACCTAGATGCACGCCCTCCTCCCCACGCAACCCAGTCATCCAGCCCGGTGCCCAGCTGGCAGCACGGGCACGGCATGGGACAAGGAGAGGGGCGACAGCGTTAGGCGAGGGGCAGGGCGCAGGCCCCTCTCACCTCGTAGGTGCTGGTGATGCCCAGGCGGTAGAAGACGGGCAGGAAGAGCTCGGCGCTGGCCAGCACCACCAGGAGGTAGGTGACGGCGAAGACGCAGAAGACGGCGCCGAAGCGGTACACCTCGGCCGGGGTGCCCAGCACGGTGACGGCCGACATGAAGCTGGCGGTGAGGGACAGCGCCACGGGCAGGGCGCTCATGCTGCGCCCGCCCATCAGGAAGTCCTTGGAGGTCTTCTGCCCGCCGCCCGCGAAGGCGTAATACACGCCGATGACGGCGGAGATGAGCAGCATGGCCCCGAACACCACATAGTCCCACACGCCGAAGCGCCCCGTGGCCGTGGCCATGCCGGAGCTTCTTCCCGCTCTGCCGCCCGCCTCGCCTCGGCTCGGCTCGCAGGTGAGGCGGCAGCGCCGGAGCCGCCCAGCCCCCCCCCCCCCCCC